TAGGTGAGGTCAAATGTCGAATTTTCACCGTTTACAGGCATCTCAAGAAGTGCGTTGTAAAATCGAGTAAAATGCATTTCATTGAAAATCATCGGTGGCGAAATGTTCTTCAAACACATATTCTGCTTTTGAGGTCACTGGTACCGGGTCAGGTCACAGAGGTCAGGTCACTGAGGATTACAATATGAAAATATCATGTGACGCATGCTTTATGGTCCTTTGTATATGCCAAATACGATTATATGGGTCAGGCAGCCTTTGGGGTCAGGTTAGATTATGTTCTGGTAAGGTCAGGTCAAGGTCAGGTCAAGGTCAGGTCAAGGTCAGGTCAAGGTCAGGTCAAGGTCAGGTCAAGGTCAGGTCAAATTAGGTAAACTTTCAAAGTTAATATTTTGCATAATATGGGTATCGATTCGATGCAGCTCGTCACGGGGAGTCTAATGCTGGTCTTTGTTTTCCCCTACGTGGTCTAAAATTGCCAAAAATTGAGTTTGAAAAGTTGACGTCATCATTTTTTAACGTTCTTTTGCTATAACTTAGCCAAAAAAGGAGGTATCAATCTAGGGACTATCACATATATTCCGTTTTTTCGATATCCTGAAAATTTTTGGGTTTTTCGCGTTTTTGTAAAAAAAATCAATTTTTTGAATTTTTAGGGTCTAAATCCAAAATTTTGAAAATCCGAGTTAGCAGTTTTGTAGCGCCGCCTTTTATCTACATGACCATATAAAGAACTTTGGAATTGTTTGATAACTGTAGCTTTTGTGAGCGTCAGTGGCGGCGGAATAGGGGGTGCAGGGGGTGCAGCTGCACCCAGTGCCTCCTCTAAGGAATTTTCACTGGGGGGGGGGGGGGGCAGAGGCTCAGAAGCCAAACTAGGGTACTCCCAAATCCGTTTTCTCATCGGATTTAGGCCACTTATTTTTCGTCCGAGCCCTGATGCCATGATTTTTATTTTTATTTTGAGAAAAAAATAAAGAAATAGTAGGCCATCTGACCCTATACCGGTGGATCCAGACCGGCACGAGCAGGGTGACATTTGGCGTAAATATCCCCCACAGCGTCCGAAATCGACGGCAATTTCCGGCTTTCCGAAAATGAAGCAAAATGCCTTTATTAAAAAGTATTAAACGGCACAGCAGTGCGTAAGGAATCTTGAACCGACCGCAGAAAGTGTGAGGGCTTAGGTATCGATTTCCCAAACGCTGGAAAACAACAGCTACATGCCTGAAAACAGCTAACCATCCTAAAAAGCTACTTGCCTGAAAATGGCACAACTCACAAGAAACAGGCCACATGTCAATGAGAATGAAAATCAGGGAACAGGGTAATTACAATTTCAGGAAATGTGTAGAATTGAAGTAATCAAACTGAAAACAATTTAACCCAAGGCCGGCGAGTAAAGCGGTGTTTCACGGGTACCCCATATCCGCAACCATTTTTAACCACCCTCCCAGGAGTAGTGTTAGATCCCATTGCGGTGTAGTCGTACTTGCTCTGAGCGGATATAACCGCTCTCAGCGAACATGTCCGCTGAGAGCAGGGACGACTACACTGCAATGGGACATTACTGTACTTCTGGGAGGGTGGTTAAAAATGGTTGCGGATAGGGGTACCCGCGAAACACCGGTTTACTCGCCGGCCTTGGGTTAAATTGTTTTCAGTGCAGGAGAATACGTACTAAAACGTTTGCCACGCTGGGCCAATTTTTACGCGAGTTATTCGCGAAAAAAAACTAGGGGTGGGGTCTATCATACCCTCAATAAGTGAGAGGCCTTATAGCTGCTAGTCCCAAACTATGGAACAAAAAACTTTTATATCGTGCTATAAAGCTCAGCCGCACTCTTAATTGACCGTAAAAAATTACTCTTCAAGAATAAACCCGTCTCACGAAAAAAGACATAATACTTACTCCGTGTTGAACCGTAAGCGCTTGACCGAGACTATAGAGGGCGACCGTTCGGGCTGTTTCCTTCTCAAAGTGATGCCCCGTTCAGACTTCAGTCGGCGTTCGATTATAAAATCTGCAATGTCTGACCTCATTCCGCGGCTCAACCTAGGTGGATCTGTAAAAAAACCTGTAGATAAGAAACCTACGATATAAGGAAACTAAAATTAGTAACGTGGTGATCATGGAGATCGTCTGGATTGTTTGTTTGGTAAGCTTACAGTGAAATTTCCTCGTTTTTCTACGTGATTTGCTTAATTAACTGCGTGCCCCCCCCCCCCCCCCCCCAGTGACGCGATTTCAGCTCCACTGGGGGGGGGGCAAGCGGCATCACTGGCGCGCCCCCCCAGTTAACATGTTAGAGGAGGCCGTGGGCCTGCACCCCCATCGAAAAACATGGGGGTGCATACATATCTTTTTGCACCTCCAAAATCCGTACAAGGGGCCCGTCGCACCATCCAATACATTTCTCCTGAAAACCAGTGATCGGGAAACGAACACTGATGGGGAAGCATCCGGGATGTCCAATTATGGTCAGGAGCGCCCCATGCTAGTCTTTGGGGCCCCCACACCGGTTAGAAGTTTCCCGAGCCGCGTTTGGTGCTCCACGCGGCATCTGAGGGCCCCCACGACGGCCTCAGAGGGCCCTTTTATGACGATCTCTGAGGGCTCCCACCTGAGGGCTTTGTCCCCTGGGGCCCTACAACGGCCACTAATGGCCCTCATGACGACCGCTGAGGGTCCCACAGAGACTCCAGGGCCCCAAGGAGACTCCAGGGGCCACGCTGACCTCTGAGGGCCCCTATGATGGCCTCTGAGGGCCCTTACGATGATCTCTTTTTTTTCTCTCTCTTGAACGTTTATTTACACAAACGTAAAACATATGTACCAACGGTAACAATACTGATATAACTTATCGCGCTGATCGGGCTCTAGAAAAAAAAAAAAACGCTATAACGGCGGCATTCACACAATGCAGTTTACCGCAGCATCGACACCAACGCTTCCCCACGTGCGTGTCTTACCCTGGTCAGGGATACATGAACACACACATTCTGTACACAATCTTATACACACATCGCGCTCAGGCAGATATAAATAGAGGTTCGCGACTTGATCAAAGCGGTTAGAGCCAAGGTCCCACGGAAGGCAGGCGACAGATGCTGCCGGGATCGGGGACACCCGGGGCGGGAGCACGCCGAAACGACGAGGCAAACGGGACAGCAGCCCGTGACCGCAGCAGCGGCAGCGCCCAAGTGCTACAGTAACTGGGATACCTGTCGCCCGCCGCGTCGATCCGCATCCAGCCGGTCCAGGCTCAGCGCCCTAGTGCGTCGGGGGACGAAAACCGGCCGCATCGTGGGCGACAGGTATGATAAAGGTAAATGATGTCAGGCGAAAAGGATATACATCGTGTCCTTGTCCTTGTCCATCGTGTCCTTACGTTGATCTCTGAGGGCTCTCACGACGAACTCTGTCCCCTGGGGCCTACACTGAAAACTAAAATGATTCCGGGGGGGTGATATTAGGAGAATGGTCTAAAACGAAACCCCAATTATTCCCGTAATATACTTCAAGTAGCACCTTTTTGGCCTTAGATACCCCCAATATCCCAACATTATTACCCTAATATGCCTGTTGGATGGCTAAGTGGAATCAAAATGATTATCTGGTTATGCCTCCATTATTCTAACGAAATGCCTAGTGTATTCCCCCCTGATTCTCCTCTATGCCCCGTTGATGCCCCCTAGCATAGTTCGGATGTTCTGTCTAAACCCGATCTATGCTCCTTTGATGCTATCTATATACCCCATTGATGCTCCTTTGATGCTTGCTATAAACCCCATTGATGCTCCTTTGATGCTCTCTATATACCCCATTGATGCTCCTTTGATGCTCTCTACATACCCCATTGATGCTCTCTATATACCCCATTGATGCTGATTTGATGCTCTCTATACACCACATTGATGCTCCTTTGATGCTCTCTATTGATGCTTCGTTCCGCAGTGGCGGATCAAGGGATGGGCTCGCGGGGTCATGCTATTCCTCGTGAGATCCCCATGAGATACCTAGCGCACTGATTTCTTTACCCACACAAAGGTAAGAGACGCCATTTATGTAACCACCTTCGCCCTTCCTCTGGATTTCCTGGATCCGCCCATGCCATCGACGCTCAGCCACACCAATTTAACGACCACTAAGGGCCCTCATGACGACCTCTGAGGGTCCCACAGGACTCCAGGGGCCCCACTGGCCTCTAAGGGCCTCTACGACGTTCTCTGAGGGCCCTTGTGACGGCCCTAGACCCAACTCAAGTCTGAGGGCCCATTTGGCTTCAGACGGCCCAGCGACGGCCTCTGAGGGCCTCAACACAACCAGGCTGCAGGGGCTATGCTGGCATCTGAGGGCTCTGCAACGGCCTATTGAGGGCTCTAACAACGATGGCCTCTAGCGGTCTTACCAAGGCCTCTGAGAGCCCTGCAAAGGTATCTGAGGGCCCATGAAAACCCTCAATATGGCCAAGGACCCTCATGACGATCTCTGATGATCCTCTCGAAGGCTTCTAAAGGCCCTCACAACAACTTCTGAGGACCCCAGGACGGTCCCTGAGGGGCTGAGAGCCCTGACGACGACCTCTCTGGGCCCTCACGATGGTTTCTAAGACCCAACGCAAGCTCCAAAGGCCCACACTGGCGTCTGAGGGCCCCACGACGGCCTTGACATCATTGCATGATGTCAAGCTTTTCGACCTCGAGCTGCGACCCAGGGTCATGATAATTTGGCGACCTCTACTGTTTCACCGTCGCTGCAGTGTGGGGACTTTTGGGACGCCACCGGATCAGTGTAATCGTCCGGTCCGGCCATAGGGCCGATCAGACAGTGTCCTGTGACGTCACCGTCAGGTCAGCCAGCGCTGTATGACGTTACCGGCCGATCAGCCGGCGCTGTATGACGTCACCGTCAGGTCAGCCAGCGCTGTATGACGTCCCCGTCAGGTCAGCCGGCGCTGTGTGACGTCACCGGCCGGTCAGCTGGCGCTGTGAGACGTCAGAGGCGCGGTTGGCGGCCGGGTGGAGGGGGCGCGTACTCCGGGCGCGCAGTCGTCGTTGGGGCGAGGCGCCGGAGGCTATACGTGGAGGACGCTCCCGACCGTGTGCGAGGCCGGCTGCTGTAGCCATACCCCGGCATAGTGAGTACCCGACGAATCAGTGGTCAGCGGGTTAATTTTGTACCTACGTGTGTGTCACCCTCTGTAGCGAGGCGTCGTTTATAAACACCTTGCATGTGTGCTATCGATTCTGCCCACCGGGTCACCTTTGTTATCGATTTGTGACGTTCTAACCGAGACTGCCAGACAACGGTTCAATGAGCTTTCCAGGTGCACTGAGAAAAGAAAAGCGTAACAGGCTACTCTCCGCTAATTATTTAATTCAATATCTGGAGGAAAGTGTCCGAAGGCAGCGCACGATTGCTATACATCTATCTCTTCACTCGTGGTTCAGATCCTGTGCTACAGCGTTGTGAAAACCTTTATCATAAAGGCTTCCATGACCGAGTTCGGGGCACCGAAGCTTGTATATAGGCTCAATTAGAGCTTCGGCACCCCGGCTTCGTCCCGGCCCTGCGCACGAGCCATTCGAACCTTGATTGAGCTAGAGCCTTACGAAAAAAAAAAAAACGGAGTCCTGCTTGGGAAGGGTCAAAGCCAATCAGTCCCTTTTGAAGTCATATTGTCATTAGCTGACACACTAGTAGACCTCCCAATTCAATTTAATGACCAAAATCAAAACCCAGACCTCTTATATTTCTTGAAACGAGGTCTTCCCAAGTGTAGGATAAAAAGATGCTCGCCATAAGAACCGTTCTACTTCAACCATTCTGGAATGTTAGCCCTGTTTCTAGTTTTACTTCTTGACGGCCACTGCTGTTTTTTCTTATATCTGTCTTTGTTTCTGCTTAAACTCATGGGCCCGCGGCGGCGGCGCAGTAGGTATTGTGCATTACACACCAGACAGCCGACCATAGTTACCCACCCGGCGTCACCTAACACGAACCGATCGAGGTACAGAATACGTATCCAACGGCAACATGCAGCAAGTACATTCTCGGCGTAATAAACGACACGTATCCCGCAGCATAGACAGAATGCTTTCCCAACTACCAATTTCTTAGCCTCTCATACATAAGTGAGGATTCATGATACCAACAAAATACCAAACACATTAGGATTGAAATACCAAATACGAAGTTGGTATCGGTTTGGTATCGATTCGGTATACCAAAAAGTTGGTATCCGATTGACATATCTAGTATGCAACCCGCAGCACAAAGTGTATAGCTGGGTAGGCATTCGGTAAAATACGTGCTCGGTAATCCACTATACGAACCATGTGGCTTATAGCTTGGGTATTTACCCATCGAAGGATGCAGTTGACCTTTGCACAATAGCGCAGCTTGTGATCCAATCGTAGTTGTGTTGCGCTGTGGCCCTGTCGCTGGATATACTTGGATAGACATTGGACATTGATGCCGAGCACCCACCCGGACGCTGCGCCGTCTGGAGTGGAGATGCGTACCCGGCTGGAGCTCCGTAACCGGCTGGACCTCTGTAACCGCTGTAACAGGCTGGAGCTCCGTAACCGTCTGGAGCTCCGTAACAGGCTGGAGCTCTGTAACCGGCTGGAGCTACTGACTGGAGCTCCGTAACCGTCTGGAGCTCCGTAACCGACTGGAGCTCCGTAACCGACTGGAGCTCCGTAACCGTCTGGAACTCCGTAACCGGCTGGAGCTGTAAGGAGCGGCGAGGGACGCTAAGATGCACGAGGGGGCCTACCTACCAGAATGTAAATACCGATCACTAAATAACTTTGAAATTGGTGTTACTTCAGTATAAGTGTTTCAAAGAACTAATTGCCGGTTGACATATTTTGTCTAACATCATTGCATTGCAATGAATGCGTTATCTAACCTATTTAATATTTAGCTTTTGGATATGACATTCTCGTGTCGGAATACTGCAGCAGACAAGCACTGGTCGCCCGTCGGCTACATGACACACTTCTCTTCTTGGTGTTTATCAAAGCAATCTTTTTACTAGGCAGCCTCGTAAACTCAGCAGTAAACGGATCTGCCTCCCGGCTCTAATTTGTCTCATAAGTGCTTTCGAGATGCCCGTGGAAATATACCGGATCATTGCGGCGCAGCTGAGGGTTCACGTGACCAGTCACGTGACCTACGAGTATATTGACCAGATGTTCCAAAGTCACGTGATGTGGTATTGACCAGATGTCCCTCGTCATCGTGAGCGGGTCGGTCGCTAGTCCTATCGATCTTTGGACATCTTCCACCGTCCAGAAATACGACACTGCGGTAGTTAGTGTTCGGGAGTGACTGGAGCATCCCAGTTCTTACTGTGGGAAGCTGAGGTTCGATGAAAAATAGGCTGCTGCCCTATGTTCGATTGTATTTTGATCCATTCCCTAACGCACATGTTTTGTTCGCATAAACGTTTTTTTTTTCTGCGCTACCGATGCAATGACGTTCTAATAACCATTCCATCCCATTAGGCTGAATTTAACGTTCACTTATGACCGCACACTTCATTTCCCCAGCTCCTAACGTCCCCTTGGCGTGACACTATGGTGAAGTGTTATTCACACATTTGCGCCTTGATTGGGTCGGGTCGGGCCCCCGGATGAGTAACCGGTACACGGACGAGCAAATGCGCACTGCTCTACGCAGCTGGAACTACCAGAAATGTCCGTATTTACTCCGATGTGTCAGTCGTAATGCGATCAATGCCTCTGGGTTGATCTGGTACGCATCTTACACAAATATCGAAGCAAATGTGCAGGCCACAATTGTAGATACCAATCATGTTTATGCGATCGGGAACCATGCACTAGAAGGTGTTAGTTTCATTGCGCTTCTTGCTAACTTTTTTAATTTCTCCGCCACTTTCCTCGAAGTCATGGTGCCGGTGACAAAAACCAGGTATGTTCGCCAGCTGGCTAGTTTTGTGCTCAGCTGACTGGGTGTGTCACTGTCATGGAGCATCAGCAGGCTCATAGTTTACATCATAGGGCCTTGCACTGCGTCTGCGCCCTCTCAACGAGCGACCTTTGACGCGGTGGGTGCTGGGTCAGCGACCGACTCAGAGACGGCAGAGAGACAGCCCAGCTGCGCAGGCTGTCATCTGAGTAGCCTGGGCAGTGGGCAGTGGGCACAATTCTGTCAGCACGGATAAACGGAACGGAGGCACACCAATGACCGCTCAGTCAGCATGATTGACTGAATAGCACAGCTGAACGCTCAGTCAACACGGATGACTATGGACAAACTGGCATGACTGCAGATGACTACCGTCTTATCGAAGCAATGAGGAGACAACTTTATGACTGATATCTCACTTGGCGTCCCCTTTCACGACCCTCTCCCCGTAACCAGACTCCAATTTTGCTGTGTACTTGCTCTTCATAAAGCCTCTGTCGTCTGTTCTCAGAGCCAAGATGGCGTCACTCAGATCGGTACTGGCGGCGGCCATATCCCGTGGTTGTCGTCTCGCGGTTACGACCCAGAGCGGGTCGCTAAGCAACAGTTCTAAATCTCTACTAGTCCAGCAAGTCAGACGTAAGTGTCGTTTCATCAGGCATCTTTCGGAAAACTAAAGGTCGATAGTTCACATTCGACCTTGCTTTTTATACGAGACTGAATAAAAAAAAACAGTAAATGAATGTTTTCCGTGTTGAAGGTAAATTAATCGTGCTTCGCCGTATTCATCGGCTTTAATCATATAACACCTATTGGATCGGCGGTGATATGCATAAGATAATGTATAATAACTCAATTATTTTGATGACTTTTATTTCCTGAACAATGTTTGCTCATTGACATATAAGCAGCTAAATAACCATTTATAATTCATGGATAATAAAATGATTAACAGTGTACTATGTGCTGTTGGTTTCAGCCAAGAGTTCGCTGGCCGGGAGAGAGTATCTGCAGCAGATTCCCCGGATAGTATCTGCCGTCCCTGCCTGCCATCAGACCGCGAAAGTCATATTCGACGACAACAAGACCGCAGAGTTCAAATATATCTGGGTGAGTCGCAACACGGGATATTCACCTTCTGTACACTAACGATAAAACAGTCCTCAAAATGGCTTCGTAGATATGAAGAATGATCTCCTCCCAAAGATCTTAGCTCAGTAATATCATTATCTCTAATAGGTACAAGCTAACTAGACTGCTGCATGTTGGATTTTAAAGAGGGGAGAGAGAGAGAGAGAGAGAGAGAGAGAGAGAGAGAGAGAGAGAGAGAGAGAGAGAGAGAGAGACAGAGAGAGAGAGAGAGAGAGAGAGAGAGAGAGAGAGAGAGAGAGAGAGAGAGAGAGACAGAGAGACAGAGAGACAGAGAGACAGAGAGACAGAGAGACAGAGAGACAGAGAGACAGAGAGACAGAGAGACAGAGAGACAGAGAGACAGAGAGACAGAGAGACAGAGAGACAGAGAGACAGAGAGACAGAGAGACAGAGAGACAGAGAGACAGAGAGACAGAGAGACAGAGAGACAGAGAGACAGAGAGACAGAGAGACAGAGAGACAGAGAGACAGAGAGACAGAGAGACAGAGAGACAGAGAGACAGAGAGACAGAGAGACAGAGAGACAGAGAGACAGAGAGACAGAGAGACAGAGAGACAGAGAGACAGAGAGACAGAGAGACAGAGAGAGAGAGAGAGAGAGAGAGAGAGAGAGAGAGAGAGAGAGAGAGAGAGAGAGAGAGACGCGCGCACAAAGTGCTGACTCATAACTACTCTGGAAGCGAGTGGTAGGGCTTTACGCTAGTCTTACAACACAAATAAGCGGAGTGAATTAACGGCGAGTGGTCAGTTGAAGTCACTGCTTCCTGGGCGGACCGGCCACCCGGAGACTGTCAACGATCGCGGGTTCAACAAACTCCCCGAGCTGCGCATAGGGACAATGTTGCTACGATAAAGGAATAACGTTTGTTTGCGTGGAGGTCTACGATATTGTTCATTGTACATATGGTATATTGTATGCCGCCCAGGCCTTGCATTAAACGTGGCAAGTTCTCGTCGGTTTCTTAACCTGTTTATTATGCATGTAGCTCTAACTTTGCTGTTGTGTTGAACCAGCCAGATACACTAATACAGTAGTGCGTAGTGCTAAACGGTGCCTACTGCCTTTCAAACGATTTCTGAATTGCACAGACTCGTAACTTCTAGGCGTTTATCTTCAAAAACGCTTCATTGACATCAGCCAAAATCTTCGCACCCAGCAGGCAAATATATTAGGTACAGAGAAACCATCTATCAAGCTTCGGTTCCAATACTTTTGTCCCAATCACGAAGTAGTATATCTCAGGAACAGGGTAGTCACGTATTTTAGTTGGATTTATTTGCTCTGTCGTCATCGGATGCACAGAATATAATATACCCAGTTTTGTTTAACTTTTGGCTAGGTCCCCCACGTGTTTTACCATTGGGCGAAATAATTCTACAGATTCCTTCATTTCATGGTCGTTACAGCTTTGTCTATTATGTATGTGTTTTTGACATTTTTACAAACGAAGTTCGAGTGTTTTGAATTGACGGCCTAGCGAGCCCAGCAACCAAACTAAGCGGATCTCGCTGCCCGGGCTGCGACTTTCGCCGCTGGTTGGGAAAATCCCAGGAGTAGGGACTTTAGAAGCCAAGCCTATCGTGTTGCGCGGTTCACTCAATGGCTTCAGCTAGCGGAGATGCCCACACCAACCACAGACTATCTTGAAAGTAGCTATCTGCATGTATCGAACGACGGAGCGATTCAAACCCGGATGTGGACTCAGTAGGGTGGGGCCTGAGCACTGGCTGTCAGAGTCCAGAGCAGAGCAATGGAGCCAGGGACGAAGCCCCTAATCCCCCTTGAAGCCATTCAACCATCACCGGACAACCATTTTTGATTTTACGAGTGTAATCTGACAAAAATTAGACGCTCTTCATCATCCATATGCTATTATGAGACTATTGAAGATGAAGTCCATGACGAGCCTGTCGTCGATAAGCAAGCACACTTTGGCGCCGCTAAGACTTATTTGTCAGCTCATTACTGTACTTTGTTCGAAGTTACTAGACTAGGTATATAGTACTTGATGTTCGAGAATTTGCCGAAGTCTGACCGCAGCTGTCTCTGTGTTTCCGCTCCAGCTGCGGGACAACTGCAAGTGTCCGTTGTGTGTGGACGTCGACACGCGTCAGAAGCTGCTCGACACGCCTGCACTCGACCCCAAGATCAAACCGAAGGCTCTGCAGATCAACGATCGTGGCGACCTGGTCATCACATGGCAGTCCCACGGTGGCGAGGAGCACGTGTCCACATTCACCAACGACTGGTGGGTCGCCATGGGTGGCACGTGCGGTGAAGTGACCGGTTCCTTTGGGCATTGGATAATGGATATCTTGCAAAATTTACCCCTGCGGTCCTCAATGAATTACTCTTATTATTATATAGTCGGCTTGAGCCCAGCATGTGACTAGATTTTGCTCATCTTCCACACTACAAGCCTTGAAACGCCACGATTAAGTAGAAGCATATATACTTTAAGTATTGGTCTTACCCTTGAGACAGTTTCTCGCGCGTGCATTTACCGGCGTTGTTCAATATCGCTTCCCGGCCCAGGCCATGTACCGGTGTGCTCGGCAGCGACAATACAACGCCCCCCCGTCCCACTCCCCTTAGCACCAGGGGCGGATCCAGGAAAACTCCAAGGGGAGGGTCATGAATCGAAGTGGTGCCCCTACCTATACCCAAAATTAAAAACTCAACGGATTTCGTCCACTTCATTTTGGTGGTGCCCCCATTTTCAGTTTTTTCTTTTAAATTTTTTATTTTTAGTCAGTATCTTAACTCTTAGCCACAACCACATTTACCAATTGTAAGCAAGTATATATGAATGTACCTACTATGTGTATATATGTTGTGGACGCTGAGTAGTGAGTACTTACCAGGAACGTTATCAGGTAAGCAAATCGTTGTCAGTCCGACGAACTTGACCCTGGCGTCTAAAGGGTCTGTCCTTGACACTTCAGGCTTGTCAGGGGCACCAAAGTCCTTCCAGGGACACCACAAACCTGTCAGGGGCACCTACGGCCTTGTAGGGGCGCCACAGGCCCGCCAGGGGCACCACAGGCCTGCCAGGAAGCAGGGGCACCACAGGTCTAGCAAGCATACACGACAGGCCTGTCAGGGGCACAACGGGCCTGTTGGGCCCATGAGCACCCCTAGGGGCAGGGGCACCACAGTCCTTCCAGGGGCACCGCAGGCCTGTGAGGGGCACCAGCGGCCTAGCAGGGGCACCAGTCAACACAGGCCTGCCAGGGGCACCAGAGGCCTGCCAGGAGCACCACCGACCTCGCAGGGGTAACTTGGGCCTGTCAGGGCCCAGGGGCACCACGGGCCTGTCGAGAGGCACTTCAGGCTTTTCAGGGGCACCATAGTCCTCTCCGGGCGCAGGGGTAGCAGGGGCACCAGAGGTCTGCCAGGGGCACTACAGGCCTAGCAAGGGCACCACTGGTCTATCAGGGGCACCACGAGCCTGTCATAGCCAGGCATCTCAGGCTTGTCAAGGCCCAGGGGCACCACCGGTCTGTGAGGGGCACCAGCGACCTAGCAGGGGCATCAGTCAACACAGGTCTGCCAGGGGCGCCACAGACCTGCCAGGGGCACCAGAGGTCTGCCAGGGGCACCACCGGCCTCGCAGAGGCACCTTGGGCCTGTCAGGGGCACTTCAGACTTTTCAGGGGCACCAGTCTTCTCCGGGCGCAGGGGTACCAGCGGCCTAGCAATGGCACCAGAGGCCTGCCAGGGGCACCAGCGGCCTAGCAAGGGCACCAGAGGCCTGCCAGGGGCACCACAGGCCTAACAAGGGCACCACGGTCCTGTCAGGGGCACCTCAGGCTTGCTCATGGCCCAGGGACACCACAGTCCTTCCAAGGGCACCGCAAGCCTGTCAGGGGCACCAGAGGCCTGCCAGGGACACCACAGGCCTAGCAAGGGCACCACTGGCCTGTCAGGGGCACCTCAGGCTTGTCAGGGCCCAGGGGCACCACAGTCTTTCCAGGGGCATTACAAGCCTGTCAGGGGCACCAGAGGCCTAGCAAGGGCACCACAGGCCTGCCATGGACACCACAGGCCTGCCAGGGGCACCACCGGCCTTGCAGGGGCGCCTCAGGCCTGTCAGGGGCACCACGTGCCTGCCGGGGACACTTCAGGCTTGTCAGGGGCGTTACAGTCCTGTCAGGGCCCAGGGGCACCAGGCCCGTGGTGTCCCTGCTAGGCCGGTGGTGCCCCTGGCGGTCCTGTGGTGCCCCTGTCAGGACTGTGATACCCCTGATAGGCCGGTGGTGCCCCTGGCAGGTCTTTGGGCCCCCGGGCCTCAAGGGGGGCCATGACCCATGTGACCCCCCCCCCTTGGATCCGCCACTGCTTAGCACCCAATGACTGCAACATTCCTTCAGGCTGTACCGGTACGGCCAGTGCTTCATGCACGACACGTTCACGGCGCCCGCCACCCTGGAGGAGGATGGTGCCTGGCCGCGGCCGCCGCTCACCCTCTGGAACCGCTACATCATCCAGAAGCGACTGCCAGAGGTCGACTATCAGGAGTTCATCGAGTCGGACGACGCGCTGTTCGAGTGGCTCGACATGTTCTACAAGTTCGGCTTCGCCATGCTGAGGAACGTGCCGACAGACCCGGTGAGTGACGACGCCACCTGCAGGAGCGAGGCCACAGCGCGTGCCGCTCAGGTGGTGCAATTCGTGGCGTCGGGAAGCCCACGTTGACCTATGTCAAACGACTGCATATGTTTCGGCTAGGATGTTCTCCGCAAGGGACCGTTGACGTTGGGACCGAAGACGTGAGGAGTTTCAGGACAGCCATCTTTGTCGTTTCGTACAGTGACACTCCTCGCTCTATCCGGCAGGATCAACTAAAGGAAGTGGTCGGACGTTTCGCCTACATCAAAGAGACGCAGTACGGCGTGACCTGGAGCGTGCGGATCGACCCGACTCCCGGGGTGCACCTGTTCCAGACGGGGCTGCGCCTGCAGCTGCACACAGACATGAACTACCGAGAGAACTCGCCTGGCATGCAGCTGCTGCACTGCCTCAAGGTCAGCAGTGGTGGGTCAGAAGCGCCGAAAACACGGTGGACACTGGAGACTACGATGATGGAGACAAGAGTTGATGCACGCCTTGATATGTTCTTACCATGGCTTTGTCATGTTCGGCTCGTTAACGTTCATGGCTATCATGCGTTTTCAAGCTCCCCGACGCCTGAACATCTGAAGCTGAGCCTCTGAAGCTGAACATCTGAACCTCTTGCTCAGAGGTATCATCATTTTAGGGCGCAGTTAGGGGCCATCAGCAAACCATGAGTCGATAAATGTAATACTCCGGTAGCCAGGAACATTGATTCATCTAATATCGACGCAGCCAACAACCAATTAGGTCTCATCCGTATTGGGTCGCCGTCTAATTAACCCCAGCCACCCATCACCAGGCGGAGCACCCGGACAAGCTGGGACGCGACCCGGGCGGCCAGTCGTTCTTCGTCGACGGCTTCCGGGTGGCCAAGTGGATGGAGGACAACGAGCCCTCGGCCTACCACATCCTCACCTCGACGCCGATCCTCTTCAGCATCAAGAACAAGGGCCAGCGGTACGGCAACATGGTGCCCATCATCGTCACCGACTCCGAGGGAGACGTCACCGAGATTCACTACAACAACCGCACCATGGGACCGCTTCAGGTAACGCCCGATGATGATCACCTGTATTTGAGAAAGTATTGTATCAGCTTGCGCCACACGCAAGCTCGTAAGTAATTAGAGCAGCTTGCAGTTGTTTCAATCATCTAGGTAGACCTAAACTCTCTAGTTGATTTTTCTGCCAAATCATCGTTCAGAATGAGATAAGCGCAGAACTACTTGGAACACAAACACAGATTTATCAGTTTGATAGTTGAACGTCGCAATACCCTTGTCTCGCAGCTGGTGGCCCCTGTTTGTTTTTGTCACCGTGCGCCTGGCCGAGACAGCCGTGCGGTGTTTAGATACCAGTAAACACGCCTGTGATGCAGTGGGCGCCTGCTGGCACTGGAAAGGCCGGCGATAGCGGTATACGACCGCCCACAATTGGCCGAGCTGGCATTTGTCAGCTGGACACACGTGACCCATATAGCGAGCCGCCTGGAGGAGGCCAGCGGAAAACTACTCCATCGCAGTGTCCCCGGATTCACCTTCAGACAACTGCGACCGAGGTGTCGCGCCCTTTGTACTTTGGACTCGTCTGGAAATATTTGGAGCGAGGATGTGAATAGAAAAAGTTGTACGTTTATCAACTCCACATCTGTAAACGCCAGGGCAGGGATATAACTTCAAAAAGTTGCTTGTTTATCGGCCATGTATATTTATTTTTTTTTTAGATGACCGGAGCATCAACTTTAAACTATCTCCGTGCTCAACACACCAAACCGTGGCAAGTTGAGCTCCCATGTCGCAGCTTCCGGTCACCTTGCCATGTTAGCCAGTCTCCCTGAGATTGTAGCGAGTTTGTGTCGATGTTGCAGGCTCCTGACCACGTCGTGGTGCCGTTCTACCACGCCTACAAGCTGTTCTCGGAGCGGATGCGCCAGGAGTCACAGCAGCTGACGTTCCATCTCCAGCCGGGAGACGTGGTGGCCTTCAACAACCGGCGCGTGATGCACGGCCGGGGCAGCTACGATCCCAACAAGGTGGAGAGGTCGGTACCGGTAGGGCGGGGTGGCAGCGATGGAGGACTGGGACTAAGGTCGCCGCCATCGGGCTCAGAGAGGGGATTGGAGGAAACGGCGGCTGGCAGCGATGGAGGGTTGGGAAGGTTGATGCTGTTGCATTATGCTGTAAAGAACAGGAATTTTAATGTCATGCTCTTGCTCATTCGTGTTTTTGCATGCAATTTTGCAAATGAATTTCTTTTTTGTGAGATCAGAAGCAGTCGCTGTGCTGAAGTAAGATTAATTGTTCGCTGAATTGATTGATTTATAGGATTTGCTAAGTCGCATGCCGTCGATATAAGGGGCTGATAACAATCGATTCTACTCAGGGGTGGAGAAATATGCCGAGTTGGGGTTGCACGGGCGCAGCAAATCCGCCGCCGCCCTAGCGGTGACCTTGACCTCCGCCGTCTGGTGCGGCTCCAAAGCCAAGCCGGCGCAGCCGGCGTGGAATTGGGAAGGCTCGTGCTACCCCAACTAGGCACAATTCTCCACCCCTGATTCTACTGTCCCAAGGGAAGCGGTTAACATGTGTCATTGCTCAGACTGTGTAGGCCCCTGTTCGCTCGTCTCTGACAGCGGGCTCGTTCGACAGACACCTGCGCGGCTGCTACGTGGACATTGACGAGGCGTTTTCCAAGTACGACCAGATGCTCTCGCAGCGGCCTCCGCTGCTGTAGGGCGCTCAAACGCCGGGCTGTGTCGACCGAAGGAGGAGAAGAAAGGCTGAAGAAGAAGTAGAGCTAGCTGCGGGGAAAGAAGAAGAAGCTAGCTAAGGGAACAGCTGGCTGAAGAAGGAGCTGACTAGGGCGGGGGGGGGGGGCAGGGCAGTGCTAGCGGAGGACAGAAAGGGCGTCGTGCAAGATCGCTGGACACCAAGACTCCACAGCGTCCATTGCACGCTAACCGCATTGTATTTCTGAAAGGGGCTGTCTTGAAGAAGCTTCTGTTTATTGCGCTGTAGCGAGTTGGCGACTTGCTGAATGTGGTTGGTAGATTGAGTGGCAGGACTGTGACTGGGTTAGAGGGATTCTACCCCGGTCAAGATTTAGGGATGGTGTGGTATGCAAAGCAGATAGCGTTCTTCCGGTGGTCCTCTTAACCAACTTTCGCGGTCTGCATCTGTATCTTGCATTCGACACTTCGCTTTGCCGTCGTCTATTGATCGTACAGAAATGCCTGCTTCCCCGCCCTTCTTTCACTTTGCCGTGGCAGGCAGAGAGAGAAGGCTGCGTCGTCTCCGTGAGACGTGAACATAAATATGAGGTACATAATCTCACGGGGCAGATGGTACCTATTCTTTCTCTGGATAAGAGTCTCTAGTTAAATAGGAATGAAAGAGAAAGATGCTACACTCGAAGATATACCCAAGGAAGTCGGTGACTGTTAGAATTATGATTTCAATAAGTCAAGAGACGCAAATGGTGCGCGATATGATGCACATTGCCTTTACTCTTTAGGTATAGTTCAGTCCTAATGTGGGGTGTTTTATACGAAGCGCATCCCAGCAATATAAATTGAAGTTCAGCTACACGATCGAGTAGCACCACAAACCTGCATGATCTTTACGAAACAGTTATCCACTCAGGAACTGATACTACTTACAGCAAACCCGTAAATAAAACGATAAACATTGAACATCGGACCAAACATGAGTGCCTGGATATCATGCTGCAAATCCCATAAATAATGCTAGTTCAAACGCCTAGAACTCGCAAGTGGTCAGAATACGTGACATAGAACATCCCAAGCAAGCTCAGTTTCGGCAGTGTTTATGGTCGCAACTTAAGGATTTCATCAGTCTTTTGAATTGCATTCCAAATGTGAATGATAAATAAATGCGTGGTAGTGGCAATATTAGCAGAGCTAAAGAAATTGAAGCATGCGTCATAAACGTTTTTCCACAATATTTTGCAACCCGGAAAACACAGGTGCGGTGATGGAAGCAGTCGGACATGAGGATAAGTAGACACAGCCATCCGGATTCGATCATCGCTCAGCCGGCTGCTTTACACTCTCCGGCCGCTAAGAACAGCGTGAGAGGTCTGATTTGATCCTCTGGATATGGTGATTAATCAAAGTTGAAAATTTGCCAACACTAATACAAAGATCAACTTCACTTTTGTAAAGAAAAGTTATGCTCGTAAGTAAAAGAATAGAGCGAGTGGGGGAAAACACACATCGATATGTAGGTACTCGTAAGTTAAAATATGACCGGTGTATTGGTAGTCCAATTAACAGCTTGTTTAGTCCGGTAGGCAAGCTTTTTCGAGAGCGTCGTGTATATTTCACTTTTGATTTGAGCTATTCACTTCGTCATTCGCACTAATAAATAAAACGCAGATATAATTATAAAGCACCGACTGCAGTTAACCCTATTCCTGGCGGGCTCCGCCGGGACAAGAAACTGGTGGGGGGGGGGGGCGATTCGGCCCCCCCCTTCAGATCTAAAAAACTACATATTGCAGCGACAAACGGCGAACGGCGTTTGATAGGTCGTTTAAAGATCTACAACTTTTACATAAAACATTTTCAGGTCAGGTCAATATTGAGGTCACCAGAGGTCATCAACGATAAAATGTTTTGGAATTAGTTACCTATATAACTTTTAAACTAAGAAACATAGAGACATAAAACCAATACATTTTTTGCTGCTCTCGCCGAGGCGATGCGAAATAAGTATGAGATGACCTTCACAGGTCAATTTGAAATTTGACCTGAGGTCAAGGTCAGGTCATTCATCAATGGGGTTGTGGGGTATGGTCATGCTGCATACCAAACGACGCGCCTTGACCAGGCGAGCAGTTTGGTACCACTTACAAGTCTTTAGCACCATCATGTCGTGATTTATTGACAGAAAAACGATTTATGACGTCACATGACCTCAGATGACCTTTGCCGGTGCCCCTGTCAATTAGCGGCACCAGGATCATCACCGATGAGATAATCTTCCATAATACTGAAAGAATTGGGTGGTTTTGACTCGTTTACACGAAGCAGGAGGCGTTTCAATATTTTCCCATAGGCTTGCAATGTAAAGGTCACGAGTCTGGCCTGACCTCAGGTCACAGATATGAAAATTCTGAGATATACAAATTGCACATACTGGTACCCTAACTAAAGCCTGAAGAGAAGAAATTGATCGGTCAAAAACTCTAGCTCTGGCGTGATTGCAAACTTTTCTGAAGTAGGGTCACCAAACCGCCTCTGGTGACCTGACCTGAGATCAGATCAACTCAAAATTTTCAGAAATGTTGCGTAAAAGCCTTTAAGAAAAAGTCAGAAAATTTGAGCTTCCTAGCTCAAAGCGTTTGGGAGAAATAACCAAAAAACCTCAGGGGGGGGCTCCTGAGGCCCCCCCCGCCAGGAATAGGGTTAACTCGCGCATGAGTAGGGGCGGAGGCTCTACATAGCCGGCCTCCCGTTTTTCGACAATATCTTCTAAACCGTTCCAGGGATCAACACGAAACTTGAGGTATCCTCAGCGGCATTAATTTGACACCTTGTATAAAAATTTCAACTTTCTTACTACCATAGTTTGACCGGAAATGACGTTAGAAAGGCGTCATGTCGGCCGATTTGATGCAAAATAATGAATTACGACAAACCCTCTCAAGAGCTCAGTTTTAAAGTTAGATCCAATTTATTTGCATCAGTGGACTTAACCCTATTCCTGGCGGGCTCCGCCGGGACAAGAAACTGGCGGGGGGGGCCGATTCGGCCCCCCCTGAGATCTCGAGAACGAAGCAAGATAGCGACAAGCGGTAAACGGCATCGGATACGCACGGCCAAGATCTACAATTTTTACCAAGGGCATTTTCAGGTCAGGTCAAAGATGACGTCACAGGGGTCGAAAAAGTCAAAATGGCGGCACTAGATATGGAGAGAGTTTTTCTCGAATAACTTTCGAATTAGTCAAGATAGGAACAAACTAAGGGCATCATCGTGATCCTCTCGTCAATCCGCATCGAATGATATATATGTTGACCTCGAAAGGTCAAGGTCAAAGGTTGACCTCAGGTCACGTGACCTCGAGGTCATCATGTATATCATTCGATGCGTCTTGACGAGCTGAACACAATGAGATCATCCACGCGTCTGTATCTTGTTCCTGTACGGAGTTATTGGCCAAAAACCTTTGGTGACCTTTGATGACGTCACATGACCTCACAGCTGCCCAACAGCAAAACAGACCTCAAGGTAGTGAAGGTTGATCGTATATGAAGTCATGTATGGTATATGGGGCCATTCCGACCCGTTTTAGTGGTAAAAACAGGGAGTTGATTTTTCCCCCATTGACTTATAATGGGGAGGTCGCGAAATTGACCTGACCTTAGGTCACCGATATCAAAATTCCGAGATATACAAATTGCACATATTGGTACCCTAACTAAACCCTGAAGAGAAGAAATTGATCGGTCAAAAACTCTAGCTCTGGCGTGATTGCAAACTTTTCTGAGGTAGCGTCACCAAACCGCCTCTGGTGACCTGACCTGAGGTCAGATCAACTCAAAATTTTCAGACATGTTGCGTAGAAGCCTTTTAGGAAAAGTCAGAAAATTTGAGCCTCCTAGCTCAACGCGTTTGGGAGATATAACCAAAAAACCTCAGGGGGGGGCTCCTGAGGCCCCCCCCCGCCAGGAATAGGGTTAAGTACAGGTAGCTATGAAATTGCTGTCTCGCTCGGCACAGGATCGGTGGGCCGAGTTGCGGCGATCCTGTCCAATATCTTCATAAATAGCCAAGTTATTTGCAATTTTGTCAAAATTTTACAATTATATATTTTTGAAAACTATTTTTTCAGTACTATTCTGACATCATACAGCAAAATAAATGGCTTTGTCGCATTCCTGAGCAGCTGAGCTCAAACTGCATCTGATGGGCACATTTGTGTTAAAAAAAATCATTTTCAAAATTGGGCCTTCTCTGAGGTCTGAAGTGACCTGATAGGTAGGTACAGCCAAAAATGACCTCAAATGACACAGACGACCTTGTTTTCAAAATCTATGAGTACAATGGACCATAAAACATGCGTAAGGTGCCGACTGTCGATACAGTACATACAATTTCCGTGGCCTAGGATGACCTGGTCTTGACCTGAAAGATTCGAAGTAAAAGTTAGGTGCCCTCAGGGTAACTAAGGCATATAGCAAGGAGTGCCTAAACAAAAATGAGCCTGATCGGACCTGTCAGCCGGCGGTCAGATCCTAAACTGTGAACAAGCAGAAATGCTGATAATTTTTATTTTGACCTGACCTGTGACGTCATCGGTGACCTCGAGGTTAATGAAAATAGGTTCCGTACGACAGTTTTCCAGGGCTATCAGACGCCGTTTGAATTTTGACGATCGGCTCAGTAGTTTCGGAGCTAGGAGGAGGGCTTTCGGAGATAGGAGAGCCCCCCTCCCTCCCCCCCCCCCCAGTCACTCGCGTTATGGAAAATGCCCCAGTAATGCGCGAGTTAATGTATATCTATTTATGATTCCGTTTTTTTCGTTACACTCAAATCACGCATTTAATAGAACAGGTAAAGACTGCATTAATTGATCAATCTTGATATAATTAGGTGTGCAAATTTAATGTGGTCTAGGTAAAATATCCACCTTAAGTTTATAACATTATGTGAATGACCGACCTTCATTGCTGCCAGGCCCTAAATGTCGAAACTTGATGGTTTGCAGTGCGGCCATGTAACCACGTAGATACGTAGATTGTAAACCAATAACTCCTCAATCGTTTATTCCATTTGAAAGTGCGCTGGTTATCTATTGACCAGCGCGAACAGCTGTAATGTGCAGCAAGGAGGTATGCAATTCAGTAAATTCTCTTATCTTTGAAGTGAATTGGCTGTGTCATGAATACAATGGATGCATGTCTGGAGTGGAGTCTTTTTTTTAATGGAGACTGTCTGCAGTGCCCGTTTAACTCTGATCGCGCATGAAGTGAAATGGGGAGCGAGAAGTTTAACCCACGAGCCGCTGGGGGGGGGCATAAAGTTGCCCCCCCTTTACGTTTTGTGAAATATCTCCAAAACCTGATGAGCTACGACCGTGAAACTTGGCATAGCTTCAAATGAATACCTAGGCAATGTTTGAGGAAAGTTTGGTGGTTGTAGCACCTAAGATGTCACAGTGACGTCATAAAGTTTTGTCGTTTTCCGACATGGACCGTTTCTGATGACGCTGAGCATGAAACTCAACTGTAAATGAACTAGACAGCACCTGCTGTCATCCTAAAACATCTAACTATTTACACTTCCATCTAGTTTCTGACCAATAATCGACCCTTTATATTCGGTCCCATATATCTGATGTATCGTGAGGAATATGAGAGTCGCAAATCTATAATTTCACTTATGACGTCACTGTGACGTCATTTCAAATGGGATCGACACCAAATTTGGACACAACCTCGGCTAGGTATTCAGGAAGATGTGTGCAAAGTTTCGCTTCTCTATCTCTTCGCGTTGCGACGATATCGTCGCAGAAGTAAAGGGGGGGCAACTATATGCCCCCCCCAGCGGCCGGCGGGTGGCGCGGAGGCCCAGCGGCCGCCGGGTTAAATTGAGAGTAAATTGGTATGCATTTTATTACCAATAGTTACGCATCTCTATTTTGTCGTTCTCTTTATCCGATATTTTTTTATCAGCGTGGTATGAGGAAGCGAATATGGATTATTAGAAGGTGAAGATGTCGTGTATACAGCTTCATCAGGTAGGTATGTTTTACGCTTGCAAATTTTGTGAATTATGTTGAAATAAAAGCAGTTTCAGTTGGTTGAGACTAAAAAGTCAAACATTTACTTGAAAACCATAATAAAATACCTAATCGTGACATGAATAATGAATGTTTTGCTAGCATTGGTTTCAAACAGTGCTTTGCCATTGTTGCCACTGACGAACACGAGAGAACATGGGAGCTGTGCTTATTCCTCAATAAGGCACGACTGCCAACCGGGCAAGGCCGTGGGAGGTTGCACGCTGCACAGCTCCCCTTCTTACTCAGCGCTCCTGGGCCACACGTAACGACACGCGGTAAGCGGCATTCGAAAGTGTCAAAAAAAATCACGGAGAAAGTAGACAAGCCATTCGTTAGGTCAAGTCAAAGGTCAGGTCAAAGGATTCATCATAGGTTAAGTATATTGCCTATTTCAACTTTTTCTTTTAGCGAATCGACACATAACTTGGAAACGAATATAATTAATAGCGCCGCGGAAAAGCGCATTCGATAGCTCTTTTCACGTTCCTTTTTTCGGCGGCGCGAAGCCTCGATTTTTTTTTACAAACGCGAAAAAAACGGAAGGGGGCGCTCATTGAGCGCTCATTGAGCTTGACAAGCAGCCTCCCGGTCTGGTGTGGGTCCGAACGAACGAGTGAGGTTAGGTATATCAAACTTACTCGCCATCGAGAGGCCATCAAAACAGTCTAAACATGGGCAGTGTTCGTGGGTATGCTTAGGAGTCTGTTTGTAATGACAGCCAGCAAGTTGAGCAGTACCATGTGGCCCCTGTCGGCCTTGAGTGCCAGTCTTCTCGGCTGTTGTCGACTGCCGCTCAGTTCACCACACAGTGCTTTTATACCGCGTGGAGACGGTTGAATCTCTGTGCGGTTCGAGTCTACACCGTTTCAGCGCGCTCCCAGTGAAAAGACGCGTCATCCAGTAGAACCGGCTCACCATCAGACGGCTGCAGCTCCTTTCAGCAGCTCTCATCGCGGTAGCTTCTAGCATCTACCAGTGTCCAGCAGCTGTCAGCTGTTGCCACTTCTCCCACACCTTCTACCAGTCTCGGCGGATCACCAGGACGCTATGCTGCGCGCCGGGCTTCGTCTGACCTCTGGTCTGAGGAAGGTGCTGCCAGATCTCTGCCAGACGCACCACCATGGAGTCCAGTGGCGATTGCTCAGCTCCGTCACCAAAGAGACGCCGATCGGGGTCATCGGCATTGGAAACGTCGGCAAGTATATGAACAGGTCGTAGGCAAAAGGCCCCTGGGGCGCTGCTTTGCGATTTAGTGGTAAGTCTGAATAGATACCTCTATTCTATTGTTTGCTGCTCGTAAGCTATTGTTGGGTTTTTTATGCTAGATGACGCGTAGGTAGGTATAATCTTGAAGCTCAAACTCAAATGTTTTGTAGGAGTTTTTTTCAAATTTCAACTTTCTATTACGATTATTCGCCGTTGATGTAGGCTTAACGACTTCATTTTATTATAACCACGGCATAGATAACATGATTCATGTTATCTATGCCTATGGAAAACAATTATTTATGTGTGCATGCTGCTTTATTTTTGTCTCATGTTTTAAACAATGAGCAGTTAGTATAAGATTCAGCGGAGTAATAAACTCACTTTCATTTTATCCTACCGTAAAGAAAGAGATGAGACTGACTAGACGTCGCATAACAGTACGCAATTTCAGGAAATTGCTCATGGTTTTTGTTTCATTGAACAGACGCACTTCGTCCCCCCCTAGGTATCACACGTGCTAACGCTGCCCCCGCCCCCTCCCCTCAGGTGACGCCGTTGTGAGGAATCTTCTGCGCTCTGGATACACCGTCTTGGCCATGTTCGACACAGACGGCGCGCGGATGTCAGCGCTAGCAGATCGGGTGGCGGTGGCCGACAGCTCCCGCCAGGTGGCGCAAAAGGCCGATGTCGTCATTACATGTGAGTACCTACTGCTGGGTTCACCCGGAGTTGGGGCCTAATGCTAGAGAATAGGTACCCAGATGATACCCCACCAGACAGTCATGAGATCTTCTGAGCCGTCGGTCATCCTGAGCTGAGCCGTCATGCATACATATTCGTACCGGGATAAATGGCCTGGCCTGGAATGGTCGTAAGCTCGTAAGGCACAACGCCGTGATTACTATATATGGCCTTGGATTACTGTTTAGCATAGCAACAATTGCGACAGCGCGGTATTCGCTGGACAGTTACTCTATGTATAAATGTTACCAGCTCAGCACTTCAGACTACTCGTATCTTTCAGGGACCTCCCATTCCTATGCTTTTGGCGAAGTCAACGCCGAGTGGGCACTGGGCAGTATCCCTTTCGCTCAGCTACCGTTTTGCGCTGTTCAGTGTTGTGTTACTCAAAGATCAATCTATTCACTCGATACTGATCTGTTTTATTCGCTCAGTAGCTCTATTCACGCGACGGACATTGACATCCTGTTCTGCTCGCAGCAACCCTTCTTTTTGTTCAGCTGCCGTCCTGTTCTGTTCAGCTGCCGTCCTGTTCTGTTCAGCTGCCGTCCTGTTCTATTCACCAGTGACCGTACTGTTCTGTTCAGCTGCCGCCCCGTTCCGCTCGCGCAGGTCTGCCGAAGCCGGAGCACGTGGAGCAGTCGTACGTCGGCCCGGACGGTCTTCTGGCAGGGTTCCGGCCGGGAACCGTGTGGATCGACCACTCGACCACCGATTACCAGGCCACCATGCGCTACCACAAGGAGGTATATGGAAAAAAAAAACTTTTCCTGAATAACTATCAAGAGGGCTGAGACAGCAGGCGGAGCCAACTGATGAGATTAGGACGGCTTATGGTAGATCATGGCATAGGACACCATGTAGCAGGACTCTGATTCGGTACCCTGATTCGGTACTTACGAGCAATGCTGTCCCGAATACGGGCCCTGGATGTTCAAAGCTAAATGTTAGACTAAACGATATGATGCCCGACGGGCAGAGGGCATGTAGCGGCTTGCTGCTGATGCGACTGAAGTCGCGCTGTGTGTTCCTCCAGCTGAAGGGCAAGCAGGTGGAGATGGTGGAAGCGCCCATCACCGGCGGCCTCTCGGCGCTGAAGACGGGCACCATGGTCACCTACCTGGGCGGCGACAAGGCCGTCGTCGAGCTCGTCTCACCGATACTATCGGTGAGAGAATTGGGATGGGTTACGTTTCTCTCGGTGAGAGGACGAAAGGCGTACCATCCATACTACTGTTCACGATGAGCCCGATTGTGTACACGTTACATACCTGAGCCGGGCGACCAAAGATTCTCCAGTGACACCGCAACTGTGTGTTTGGCCCGCAGGCGAGCTACACTAACCTGGTGTACCTGGGACCAGTCGGGTCGGCGCTCATCACCAAGGTCGTGTCAAACATGCTGTGCATGCTGAATGCCATCGCGACAGCGGAGGCCATGATGATAGGTGAGATGATGTATGATGGCGTGCGGTAAGAAATAAATCGTTGATAGGTATAAAGGTCATCTGGCTGGCTGTATACAAGAAAAAATGATTGCTGGAAGGCTAAAATAGTATGAGAGAATATACTCGTCAATAAGGGGATCAGGCTGCGTCCAAGCAGGAACGCAATTAGGCATAGTTATAATCTTTTATTTGATGAATACCTAATTTATCGGTAAACAAGCCAAAGCTCTCATCCACTATTATCCATGACAGGTGCACCTATTTAACGTTACCGGATGTTTTCACTTCATGTAGAGACAACAGGCGTTGTAAAGAGACAACGGAAAATATTTAAGTGGCATGATGCATGCCCATTTTCCGTCCAATAAAAACGCACCCGACCGCCTTGCCGACCAGCCAAGAAGTCCGGCCTGGACCTGCACCAGTTCTGGAACGCGATCCGCGCCGGCTGCGGCAACAGCTTCACGTGGGAGACGTCGGCGCCGTCCCTGTTGCGCGGTGACTACGACCCCACCTTTACCATCGACCTGCACTGCAAGGACCTCGACCTCGGATACCAGATCGCCAAGCAGCACAAGGTCAGCAGCACGATCACCTGGCAGTAACATTGAACTATATTCACCGGTGCAAAGTTGCCCATTCGAGCGCGGCGAGACCAGCCAGCGAGCCGTTGAGAGCAATATTGATCTTTGTGGCGTCAATTAAATTCAAATGATCTTACATCAGGCAGTCCTTCAGGACCTTCAGGTTGAAAGACCCATATATAGGTACTCGTACGTTCCCTTTTGGTGAAGGCCGGCAGGCGAATGTATTCACACTGGGGAAAGTAACTCAAAGACTGAGGATTAAGCATTACGAATTCCCTGATAGCCCGCTACCCGAGTCAATATAGGGTGTGAGTAGCTATTGCGATATCCTGCTGATGCCATTTACGCTAACTTGCGAATGTGTGACGTCTGTCACAGGTTCCCATCCCGCTACACGGGCTGGTGCAGCAAATCTCCAACCAGGCCATGTATCAGTACGGTGCCGAGGCGGCCTGCTACTCGGGCCAGCGGCTCTACGAAGAGAGCTGCGGGGAGCTGCTGCGCTCTCCCGGCTTCGAGAACTGGAGCTACGAGAATCGCATCATCGACGGCAGCGTGGTCCCGCAGCACCGCGACATCCAGACAGATGGGGAGTGATGATCCGGAGGGATGGCACGCGATTATCTGGAGGGGGCGCGATGATCCAGAGGATGATAAGAAGCTGGGTGATGATCCGGGCGGATTGTCGTGAGATCCACCGAGATTGTAGATCCAGCACTAGCATCCATTCAAAAACAATGGCTCTAAATCTACGATCATCCGTTGAAAAGCTAGGCAGATGGCAGGATTAGGCAGATGGAGCTAGGCCCTCTCATTCGGCTGAAAACCACAGCGAGGCATGGCTCGGATTCGGATATTCAGGGCAACTTAATTTCGATTGTGTTTGGTGTTCATTAACCCTCGCCCCGTTGGGGGGAGGCCATTTTGGCCCCCCATGTGGTTTTTCCTGAATAGCAAGAAAACGGCGGCGCGCAGCGCCGCCAAATTTTCAGTACCTTCCTGGGCATCAATTTGACACCTTCACACAAAATTTCAAGTCTTAGGTCACCTTAGGTCAGGAGTTATTGAGGTTAAACTGAGGTCATGTTCGAGCAAAAATGAGCAAAAAACATGCAATCTTGAAACGCTCACCAAATCTACAGTTATCAAGCAATTTCAAAGTTCTTTATATGATCTGGTAGACAAAAAGCGCCGCTACAAAACTGTTGTCTCGGATTTTCAAAATTTTGGGTTTTTGACCCTAAAAAATTCAAAAAATTGATTTTTTAAAGAAAAACTGAAAAAAAAAATCAAAAAACTTTCCGAATTTCGAAAAACCGGAATATACGTGATGGTCCCTGTGCTCTTCTATATACATACCAAATTTCAGATCGATATCTCGTTTTTTGGCCAAGTTATAGCGAAAAGAAACTGTTCAAAAATGATGACGTCAAATTTTTTAACTCAATTTTTAGCGATTCTAGACCACGTACGGCAAAACAAAGACCACCATTGAACCCCCCGTGACGAGCTGCATCGATTCGATACCCATTTTATGCAAAAATATCAACTTTAAAATTTGACCTAATTTGACCTGACCTTGACCTGACCTTGACCTGACCTTGACCAAAACGTGACCTAAGCTGGCCCCAAAGGCTGCCTGACCCACATAATCGCATTTGTCATGTAAAATGGACCATAAAACATGCATCACACGACTCTTTCATATTGTGACCCCTCAGTGACCTGACCTCTGTGACCTGACCTGGTATCAGTGACCTCAAATAGCAAAATATGTGTTTGAAGAACATTTCCCCATCAATGATTTTCAATGAAATGCATTTTACTCGATTTGACAACGCATTTCTTGAAATGCCTGTAAACGGTGAAAATTGGACCTTTGACCTGACCTGTGACGTCATCGGTTTGACCTAGGTCAATAAAATTGGGTCACAAGGTAGTTCCCTGATAGGGCTATCCAACACCGTTTGCCGCTTGTCGCTAGGTTGCGTGGTTCTCGAGATCTTAGGGGGGGGGGCCAAAATGCCCCCCCCCCCCAACGGGGCGCGTTGCTCGGCAGAGCCCAACGGGGCGCGGGTTAAAAGAAAAAGGACATTGAGCTACATAAAGTGCATATTTAAATATGCTTACCTATCTTTACCTTATGTTTGAAATCAAAAGAATAAATTTACCGTAACACTTCAATACCGGCTAGAAAAAAGGTCATTGACTTCAGTGCCACTCTTCCGGACACAACTGTTTCTTGTGTTGAGAAAATTGCGCTGCAAGACAGCAAACATGCATATAAGCTTCAGGCCAGCTTAGTCTGGAACCGTTTATTGGGGTAAATCATGCCCCGTCATCATAATGACATTTAATTCACACATGCACTTCTGAACGACAAATTCATAAAGTTATTTTGACAGGGTTATTTGGTGTCTTGCCTACGTGGTACGTACGTAAGTACGCATTATGCGCCCTTGCATCTGTGGGCTTCCCTAAATATGAAGCACGAGCGTCTGTTTTTGAATACATGACCACGTAAAAATAGCGTGTTTGTTCAAAAAGAATGTGCTCTTTGCTATGTTGTGGAAAGGGTGCTGATAGAGTTGTTACGAGCCATTCAAGCCGTCATACTGTTATGGATATGCTTGAAAGCTCAAAATTACTTAAGAAAACTGGTGAGGAAATAACTGCTAACGAAGGCTTAGCATCGAAGAAAATCATCGGATATTATTTTTCGGCTCATTGGTGTCCACCATGCAGAATGTTTACACCTCTCCTTCTGGATTTCTACAATGAGCTGGTTGAAGACGGTGCTGAATTCGAAATAGTGTTCGTATCTTCCGATCAGTCAGAAGACTCCATGAAGGAATATATCAATGAATCACATGGGAATTGGCTTGCACTGCCTTTCAACAGTGAAGTAGGCAAAGAACTAAAGTCAAAATATAGTGTTCAAGGTATCCCAACACTCGTGATCGTCAAGAACGATGGAACATTGGTTTCGTTGAATGGAAGAGAGGACGTGCAGAAGGAAGGACCACCCGTCTTCGCAAAGTGGAATAAATGAAAACAGCTGCGTCGAAGTGAACCAAAAAGGAACTCGTATTGATCTATGCAAGTAAGGAAAAAACAAAATATTTTCAGGTAAGCTGTTGTTAAAAGCAAACATTAAGATGATTGACGGATAGAATGCCGATGAAGGCAAGTGAAGCGGCTTGTACCGAAACTGTTCACTGCGTCATGATGCGTGGCGTTGCAGATCATTCATCTATTCATTTATGTTGGTGTTGGTATTGTGTGTGCGTGATCACTGATCGCTGTCTCCGCATAACATAAAGGTCCTCTGAACCTTTTGAGAAACTAGCAGAGATTATTCTGCGCGAACAACCATGAATAAACGTTTAAAGGAATGCCACGTCATTATCTTGTTGAACGGATGCAAAATGACTTCACAGCTGATGCGCATTAAACAACGAACGATAGGTATTTACTGTTCAAGATCATCATCGTCAAATGAATAATAAGCAAGCGAATGCCTATCTTCTTTATCATCATTTGCGTCTCGCAGGCAACCTTTTTAACCCGCGCCCCAGTGGCGGTCTCAGCCAACTTCGCCTAGTGGGGAGGGGGGGGGGGGCATATGTTACCACCCACCTCTAACTCAAAAACTAAGAGGGCTAGAAAGACGCGGTAAAAAGCAGTCGATAGCTCTCGATGCGTACGTTTGAATGTATTTCATTCATTTTCCATCTTAGAGCAATATTGGGGTCACCAGAGATCATCAAAGGTCAAAATTTCCGAATTGTCATTATATTTTTCTGAAAACATGCCATTATCTCAGGGACTATAATAGCTAGAAGAGCGCTGGGAAGAGTAATCGATAGCTTTTGAACTCTTCTTTTGATAAGGTCATCATCAAAAATGACCTCAGGTCAACGGTTTAGCCTCCAGAGGGCAAAAACTCCAAAAATAGCTGTTTTTACGAAAAGTGTTTTTCGACGATAACTTTTGACTAAAAAAAGCTAGGACAATTCTTTTGCCAGAATCGTGTTCCTCTCGCCGAGACGCGTCTAATGAACTATAATTTGACCTTGAAAGGTCAACTTCAAAATTTGACCTCAGGTCAAGGTCATGACCTGACCGGAAAAGGTCATGTTGATATCAGTCGATGCGTCTCGGCAAGACAAACGCAATGAGGCCAACCCCAGCGTTCTATCTCTTTCCAATCGAGAGTTATTGGCAAAAAGCTGTTTGTAGCCTCAAATGACCTCGGATGACCTTTCTAGAGGCTATCAGCAAAAAAGACACCTTGGTCGTCACGGATGGTCCAAATCATTGTGATTATGAACTATTTGAACTGTTCCTATGCGTACACACGGATTTAGATGCATTTTCGTTTTTCTCCATTGACTTGTAATGGAAAGATCACGCCACTGACCTGACCTTAGGTCACGCATATCAAAAAATCCGAGATATACAAATTGTAGGCAGTAGGCACCCATAACACCAGTAAAACGCCTTTTGGGCGAAGAAAGAGCGAGCGAGATTGTGAGCCCTGCACGTGCGGAAGGGCGAGAGGGTACTTCCAACGGGCTTGTGCAAAGCACCGTTATAACTGGTCGCTAGTGGTGTGCCAAATTTGAACGCAATCGGCCCAGCCGTTCCTAAGATCTGGAAGCGGCATTCTGCACGTGCGCACGTGCAAACGGGGTCCAAAATGACTTTTGCACGGCACCCTACCAACCGGTCCCCAACCGTGTACCAAATTTGAGCGCAATTGGCCCAACCGTTCTCGAGATCTGGAAACGCCCCCTGAACGTGCGCACGTGCAGTAGCACCCTAACCGCAACACATGGGAATGCATTGCGGGCCTGGTGGGTGCCTACCTGTGTGCCAAGTTTCAGCGAAATCGCCCCTGTAACTACCGAGTTACTGAAATGGGAACAAAATTTGCACCTCTTCTTTTTGTATTTTGAACGTGCAGTGAGGGTCACTCACATAGATTAAAGGTGCCTTGACACTTGCGCGACTTTTGGTCACGATTTTGTCGTGGCAAGCCGTGCCATTTTCGTGCACGAACTGGGGTGGCTCCCGCACTGTTCACGACTAGTGCACGACCAGCTCAGGACGATTTCACGAATAATTCACGAATGCGTGACCATCAGTGTCCACATTGACACGGACTGGTACGACGAGTTCACGCATACTTTCCGCATAGTTTGCGCATAGTTTACGCACTTGCCGCATTGGCACGACAAGTTTGCGCAATTTGTGCCGACTTGGGCATGCCATGTATATAAATGGGACCTCCCATTTACCAATTTCCCCGTGTCCTGGCCTGACCCATCGTGAGCTCCAGTGACACAAATGTCCTGACTACGGTCAGGACAATGTGACCAGTTTGACCTGGATTGACCTATCGTGACCTTGGCTGACCTCTGTGACCTGGCGTGACCTATCGTGACTTCATGGTGACCTCTGTGACCTAACCTGATACCGTGTGACCTAATTTGACCTCTGTGACCTAACCTGAGCCCGTGTGACCTAGCTTGACCTCTTTGATCTGAAATGACCTGTTAAATACAATTTCCGTCATAACTTCCCATCTAAGCGTCCAATCGACTAGGGAAAAACACCCAACAATCCCAAATTTCGCGCTGCGAAGCAAGCCGAGATCCACACATTGGCACGGGCTGGTACGACGAGTTCACGAATACTTTTCGCATAGTTTGCGCATAGTTTACGCACTTCCCGCACCGTCCCGACGAGTTCACGACGAGTTCACGAACAGTTTGCGCATAGTTCACGATCCGGTCGCGATATTTTGTCGTGACCAAAACTTTGAACATTTCAAACTTCTCGCCCCGACATGGCACGAAGTCACGACGAGCTAACGCACACTTCACGTCAGT